TCAACAATTTTTTTGTTACCAAGTTTAGTTCAATGTCCTTTTTTAGTTATTTATGTACAGTACTGAATAGTATGAGCCATTTCATTGTTGCTTGTTTACATCGTATTTGAAAAAAGTAATTAATATGAGAGTAAAAAATTCAATTACATTTTGTGCAAAAGTACTAAAAACCTTTTACACAAAATAACGATTTAAAATATTTGATAATTCGAAAAAATTATTTTAGAAAGTTTATTAGTGTGCCTACAGCAAGTAGCCAAAATGGTGAATTATTTAGTTTAAATTAATTTAAAATTCAAAAAGAAAAAAATTCCTTTCCTTTAATAACGCCTTCATTTTATATAAAATTTGAAAGTAACAAAAATTGAAATTGAAAATGCGAAAACCTTTCACATTTTTACTCAATATAAATTTTTTTTTGGTAGTTAAAATTTATTGTAATTGAAATTGGCAATTTTGAAAAATTTATAATTTTAGAAAAGGAAATTTTAATAATACGGGATTATTAAGAGAGAGATTGTCATCATCATGTGGTGTTAATGGGGAAAATTAAAGTTTTATGTACCTATTAAGTAGCCATTAACATAATCACGATGCAATTTATTAAAATCAGCAAGTTGAAATTTGCAATACACGCGTTTCAATAATAAATAAAATCAACAGAAGCTGAAAATTTTATTTGTAAGAGTTTAAATTTCAGTTTGATTAATTAAATTTCAATTTTATTAAATTTCGTATTAGAAAAATTGAAAAATTTTGTGTCTACCACACGAACTATTGATATAGTTTATATTGAAACGATTGAATTGAAACATACAAGAGAGATAATCAAATTTCAACCAGATGGATTTTTTATGCTTTTACTGTTCTGTTATAGGGGTGAGGAAGTAAGTAATGGATACTATTTATTTACTGTTGAATGTTCTAGCTAGACTCTCAGAGTTTTAATATGACATGACATTAAATGTATAATTCAAGAGTATTAAATGTTTTATTGAACAAAAATATTATTTGAGAGAGAATTGAGATATGATTGAACTATAATTTTGTAAATTTGATATTAATTAGATTTGACCTTTATTTTATACTCTAGAAATCCAAAAACAAAAATAATTTTAAAATTTTCAGCCTAGTCAAATTGCCCAGCCAAATCAAGTGTCATTATAATTACTTTCATCATTTTTTTTATTGTTATTATTTTGTATTCGAATATTATGATAGTATTCGAAATTTTATTATTATAAAAGTGTTATACAATCTTTAATTATATTTATATACAATAACAGCTGAATATAATTATTATAATAAAATTTGTAAAATTATATAATTGAGAGCAAAATATGGAGAGAAAAAATTATATGTTTCTCAGTTTTTTTTTTCCTTTTTCTCAATTTTTTTTTTCAATTAAATTTGTTTGCTTTTGACATATGAAAACGAAATTACTTTATTGAATTTTTATTTTTGGAAATGAATTAAAATTTTTGTAATTATGAAAACACAAAAAGTGAAATGATTTATACAAAGTAAGATTCATTTTATTGTAAGGCAAGAGTATAAGAGACTAAAGATGAAAGCAACATTGAAATATTGAAATTAATTTCCTTAAAAGCAAATAAGTTCAATGAGAAAACTTGAAATTTCACAAATATGAATTTTGATGCCATTAAAAACTGTTATACATGCAATTAAATTAATTTATTATTAAGATTACTTAATAAAATAATGGTATATTTGATTGAATTCATCTTTTTATTGGCATAATTGTTATAATGTGCAATGAAATTTTAAAGACAGAAGGTTTTTTTTTTGTTATACACACTATATAACAAAAATAAACTAATTTGCTTAACCTTTTACAGCAATAAATATTGACGGTTAATAAAATGTGTTATATATGTATACCAGTATACATATTTTTTTGCGAAATATTGACCTAAAATTAAATATTTTATAATTTGTAATCTGTTAGTTTTTTTTTTTACTTTTCTTGGTTATTTTATTAATTGTTACTTTTCAAAATCAAATAAAAAAAAAAGTGGTCAAGAGTAACAAAAAATATGCCATACAAGTAAAAGCCCAAAGAAAAAAAAATTTGTTAACAAAATTTTTGCACATTTCATCATACAAAAATCGAATGGAGTTCAAGGTTTATAACTTCTAATCAATAAATATGTATGAGAGATTATAATAACCTGGTTATGAGATTGTGATTTATTGAATTTTTGTTTTTTGTTAAATTTAAAATTTGAGAAGTTTTTTGTTTTTAGTTAAAAAAATTATAATAAATGTGCTGGCTATTAAAATATTTTTCTAATTTATTTAAAGTATTAAAAATATTGCGGCATTATATTTGTAAGAGAAAAAGTTATTATACGAAAAAGTTTGTGAGCAAATTTACTATTGCATATTTGTCGCTTACATTACAATAGATTATAGTAACAGTAGCACTCAACAGACAACAGTATTGAGTAAAATTGTTATTTGAGAGTTAGCATTGATAATGATTTATTTATTTCAAAAATGACTTGCAAGATTACTCTCGTATTCTCATCTGATTGAGTAAATTTTAATTGAGAAAAATTAAATAAACAACTCAAATAGTTTTCCTGCGATAAAATTCTAATAACAATTACATGAGTACATATATCACAATTTTATTCTGAGTAATATTCTGAGCAGAAATTATTTGTACAGAAATTAATAATTTTTGGTAAATGTTGCTGCTATGATAATAAAAAGAGCATATACAGCTATGATATATACAGCTTTAATATAGCATTCTATCATGACTGTTATATTTTTAATATTTAATAACTTTAAAATGTATACATACATACATTTAAAATTACATACATACATATATATGTGATTACATACATATAACAATAATTAACATTCACAATAGTGCGTAACTCAGCCTAAATCATTATAGTAATTAAAATGAAGTACCTTAGGTTTAGGTATGTATACAATAATATATTAAAATGAGCAAGTTTTTGTTTTTGATAAAATTGTTATATGTTTACCGAGATATTGTTATATTCAAAAAAGCTAGTAAACAAGAAAACTATACAACATGTCCGCCTTCTAAATAAAAAAAAGAATATATATAAAATGTAGATTAATGTTCGCATTATAATTATTTTTTATATAAATAAATAAATTGTGATATAAAAAAACATTAAGTATATAGAAAATAGAAAAATAAATGGCTATCTCTTTAAAGTTGAAATGCAAAAAAATAAAAAATAATTAAATTTTTCCTTGTACATTTATGTGGTTACGAGAAAAATATCTGCACATATTTGTTTTCAGAAATTAGTAAAAATGTCTAGTTACTTTTTATACTAGTCATAGTTTCTGAACCGTAAGAGAAGTAAATTATATATATCAAAATATAGTTGATATTTCAAAGAATCCAAATTCAATTAAATTCCTATAAATTAACAAATTCAAAGTAGGATATTTATTTTAATGTTAAAATTAAATTTTTGCGAAAAGTTGGAATTTTTAATATTTCTATTTGCAACTTTAGAACGAATAGAAAATTATCCAAAATCTTGAGTGGGCAGAATAATCGTAAGAAACAAAAGCTTCGGGAAAGTTCGGATTTTTAATTTTGTTAACAAACCTCCCGAATTCAATTGTTGAATTGAATAATCGATTGTTGCTTGTAACCACACATTTAAATCAAGTCTCTAAATATTATTTTTTCACTTTTCATTTGAATATAAAAAAAACTCGACTTTATGGAATATTTTACACGTATCGGGCATCTGTTTAGCTTTAAATTTTTTAAACATGACTTTGATTTTGACTTTTGTTTTTTTCTTATTTTTCTGAATTTCTTTAACATTTTTTTTTTTTTGTTTCTTTTAAAAAATTTTTTGTTTTCATCATTGAATTATTTCTTTAAGATTATAATGGATATTATAAAAAAATGAAACCTGATTTGATTATAACAACAAAAATTAAAATTTTTAAAAACATATTTTATGAATATAAGTAGCTTTTTTTTATGTCTTCAGTTTACACAAAGAAAAAAGCACATACCATTTTAATGTGTGATGTTATTAATAAAAAACACAAGAAAAAAGAAATTTTTTGATAAGAAAAATTTTAAATTTAAATTTGGTTTTTTTTTTCTGAAAATTGTGCTTTTATAAACTGATATTTTTATTAGCTAGTGTTTTAGGATAGCATATGAATTGATAAACAAACTGTCCAGGGTCCGCTACTCATTTTTTCAATAATAAATTTTCACTATAATTTTCTATAATGACAAGGTGTTTATGTTAATTTTATATTTTATTTATTGTAATATTTTATCATATATTAATAATGATATTTCCAAGTAGGTCTTCATTTAATTTTTTATTTTTAATTTTATATTTAAGGTTTTTTCCTACAATTTTATAAAAACAAAACATGCATATTTCATTCAATATGCCATTCGGATATCAGGTAATATAAATTTAGGTATCTTTAAATTTTTGTAGCGTGTCGTAAGGTCGAAAAAGAATCATTAAGTGTAAATTAAATATTAGAATGTTTTTTAAACGCTTAAAAAATTAATTGTAATATTTTACTAAAATTTAATTTATTTTAATTATATTTTTAAATTTTAAGTCAAAAGTATTTTAAAATTTTTAATTTGAAATGAATGGGAAGTCCATTTTTTCTTTTGAATGTTGGAAATTAACATTTTTATAATAACATATAAATACCGTTATTAATATAAATTAAATATATACATATAATTGACATATATAATATAATTATTTTTTAATATAACAGTTAATAAACTGTTACAAATAAATATTGTAGGTACCGTTATTAATATAAATTAAATATATATATATATATATATATATAAAGAACAAATATAACATATTTAATATTTTGTATAACAGTTAATAAACTGTTATACTAAACATATATACATAATATATTTAGTAGAACAGTTAAAATTTACAAAATCAAAATAATATAACACTTACCTTATTTATGATAATTATGCACTTGTAACGAACGCTAGTTACGGCTGACAATATGTATATCTTTTATATATAAATATTTTTTTATTATTATATATATAAATATATATAATTATATTTCAATATAATATAAAAGATTTTTAATTCTGCTGCATTTACAAACGCACCTACATTTATAATAAAATTCCATTATTTGCAGATAAGATAACAAGAAAAAGATGTATATATGAAAATAAATAAGAAAAGAAGAAAAAAATATTAAATTATTTATTGGTACAACTACTTATTTATATATATATATATATATATATGTGGGTATAAGTATACAAAATATTGGTATATAATGAAAATACATAATATAAAATAATTTTTAAAAAAATTTTATGTTGCATTATTACAAAAATCATTAATATTAAGATTAAGAAATCTTTAACGAAATGCGAATACGAAAACAAAAAAGACATGTAAATACCAAAATACGGTAAGGAAAATAATGTAAAAGTTGAGCTAGTACGGAAGAAATAAACGGTTTTCGAAAAAGCACAATTCTTTTTAATAATTTAGAATTAAAAATTTTTTGATTTTATACTAAATTTTTTCTCTACTACTCAACATTAATGGTGAACAGCTATTACCGAATGTTTAATCTTTAAACGTGTTTGCCTCTATTTGAAATCTCATTTCTCATCTTTTTTTAATACAGTCAAAGAGTTTTGTCAAATTTTGAATTCATTCGAAAGATTTTATGTTAGAATATAAAATATGAGAACAAATTCAACACTAAAAAATTTTTATGAATGAATAAAGTCACTAGCACGGAATGCATTTTACTCTTATCTCGAATAATTTTATTTTCGAATAGAAAATTTTCCTTAAATTTATAAAAAATTTTATGTAAAATTAATAGGAATAAGAAAATGTCTGCTTTCATATAAGAACAATTATTTCTAATTTAAAATTTTTAATTCGAAAATTCGAAATTTTTTATAATAGTAGAAATAGAAGCACATTATTTTAAATACATTTTTCTTCAAACATTTTCTTAAAAAATGTGCTAACTACGAAACAGTTAAGTTAATAAAGTCTGTGAAACAATCATAAATATTACTAATAAACCGCAATAGCATAAATGCAAAAATAAAAAAACAAATAATATTTTTATAAAACGCGATATATAATGTGCACATACAAAGTCTTATATGTATGCATAAATACATAAATATTGTATGTATAATGAAAATAATGAAAATAAAGTCAAGTTTGATTGTTTCATTACTCTTCTTTCCCCGTTCTTTTAATCAGCATGTTTTTTTATAAATAAATTTTATTAATGAATGCACGTGTATAGGAAAAGTAGAAAAAAAATTTTTTTTTGTTTATTTATTAAACGCTTTTTTCAATGATTAATTAATTGTAAACGATCTAAGAAACAAAATTTTTCATTTATTTTTTTGGTTCCCTTATAAACTTTCTATTGATAGCTTCTTTTGTTTTATAATATTTGTAAATGCTTATAATTATTATAAAATAAGAAATTAATTAATTAATTAAAATATTTTTTAAAAAAATAAGAATTTTCAAATTTGACTATTTCGGCTTCAACATATTTTTATTTTTCGAATGTTTATAACTGTAGTTAAACATGACAACTACTACCTTAAATAGAAATTATATTTTTGCAATAAGAACCCTTCGAGAATTGCAGAAATACCATGTGACTAAATAATCTGAAAATCGGGGCTTATAAGCCAAATTTTGTAGTACTTAGTACAATATTACGGTAATTCCGATACTTTGAAAATTTAATATTACAATTAAACTCTATAATAAATAAATTTTATAACAATTACAAACATTTGTATAACAAATTTTTAAATTTATATTAATTTATGAAAATTCAAATTTTACTATACTTAATTTTAGAATTTAGAATGAAATTAACTGGTAATCCAAAAAGTTTCGTAAATTTTGAAAAATATCCAAATTTAAAACTTTATTTTAATAAAAATGTTCAATTAAAAATAAACTGTTATACGTATACAATTTAATATTATAATTTAATATTAAAATTATATACAATTACCGTTAAACTTGCAAAACAAATTAATTTTTTTTTACTATTTTATTTGTCTGTATATTATTACTTATTATGTCACAGATAAACTGTTGGTTGTAAATTTGTGCATAAAAGAGAATTTAAAATAAATATATTTTTGTAATAATAGCAACAATAAAATCACAAACAATAATAATTATTTAAAATTGATTTATTTTTATTTTTTTTAATTATATTATTATTTTTTTTTAATATTTAATTCACCTTTTAGTTAAAAAAACTGTAAGAATCCAATAGAATAACACTGAATTATCTAACGTCTTAATAACAATACGTCCGAATTGAGACTGAAATAGTTTACGATCTTACCTTCTTCTTTTTAGATAAATCCCCACCGATTAAAATTTCAAATATGGATTTGTGGTAAAGGTAAGAAAATAACAACACACACATGAACGAGAAAAAAAAATAAACAAGGTTTTAATTCTTTTTTTTTTTATTTTTTTTATTATTTACTTCTTTACTTTATAATATCGTATTGCAAACTCTGCATATCTGTTATTAAATCTGAGAAATCTGCAAAAAAAAATGTGAAAAAAACATATGATTTTTTTTCTGTTTTTCTGATTTTTTTGTTAATTTGCAGTTTGCACTTTGTTTGCACTACTCGACTAGCACAAAATAGAAGTAAAAAGAAAACCAACCTGTGAGAAAAAAAAACTTTGAATATAAGAAGAGTAAATGAAATTGAATATATTTTTTCTTTCTCTTCTCATTACAGTTTTTAATTATTTTTTGCGATTTTTTCAATTTCTTTTAAAATCTTTCATTTTATTTTTTTTTGTTGCATATTCTTTTATTTCAAATAATTTAATGAAATTAATCAAAAAATTTAGAGTATTTAGGACTTTTTGAGTTCAAGGTTTTTTCTTTTATTTTTTTTCTTCGAAAATTAAGAGATAAAAGCTAAAATTTTTATGAGTTAAAATTTTAAAAGAGAATATTTTTTAAAAAAATTGAATTTTCTCTTAAAAAAATTACTATAATGTCACTAACTACGGTTATTTGTGATTTAATTTTCAAAACTGTTGATTTTAAAAAATATTTACCATTCCATATGAAAAATTCATAACCTGATAGGGTGTTTTTTTTTTTAAATTTATTGATACATACTTATTGACACCACTCGTTTTTCGTGTGAGAGATCAGGCCCCATTGGCCGTCTACATTAGGCCTTGCCTACACCTCGGACATTGACATACTGCAGCACCGCAACCAACCTCGATATTTCCGCCGGGTTTATGAAACGCCCTCCAAAATGTGTAAGCCGCAAGCGAGCAATTGGCTCAAACTCTCCGCTTGGCCCATTCTCTTTAAATGGTGGATCGAGATATACCTGCCACATAAAATTTGGACAGCCTAACGCAGCCAGTTCACGCTCCTCCAGTCTTGGGAGAGACATACATTTTTAGAAGTGGGAAGGGCACTGGCCAAGCCAGCACCTACAAATCGTTCATGGCGGACAAGATCATTACCCATGGCACTTCAAAACATGGCTCCGACCCAATAAATAACTCCCCTCCGGGAAAGTTTACCTTCAAGCTTTATGTTTTGCTTTGCCTATTCTATAGACTACTTCAAGTGTGAAGCCAAATGTTCTTCGATACAGACTCGTCGAAGACTACAAAGCGAATAGCTCAATTGATTCTGATCAAAGATTACCGCTAGATACTTGACCAGAATATTAGACTTCGACCAGATCATCAGTGTCTACCCTCCAGCTAACGTGAACAGCAGTTTATCGACCACCATACACTAAAGTCGAGATGACAAGACTTCTTCCTGCAGGCAGCCACGCATATAACGTGAACGGTGATACTATAGTACTAGTAGAAGAGTGACTACTCCTACTGTCGATTCAAAAAGGGAATTATCGCTTTTAGTTTAAAAAGTCCTGTTAAGAAAGTTTAATTCACCACCCTTCAATAGTGTTATACGTCAAAAAATATCAGAATTGAAAGTTTAGTAAAGAAATTTAGCATTTACTGAAAAGAGTACAATTAAAAACTCAAATTTTTTCTCAATATTTAAGAGATATTTTTCACTCAACAAAAATTTTATAATAATACTCAAATTCTCTTTTTTTTTCATTATTTAATGAATAAAAATAGAGTAGTCAAAGAATTTTATACTAATTGTACCTACGTTATATTATTTAAAAGGTAGGTGACTCTTATTACATACAGTAATGTTAATAAAATAATATTAAGGAAGAAATTATATACCAAAAATTATAAAAGTATATGACATTAATATAAATGTATGTAAGTAATTTCGATTGCAGATTTATAAACAAAAATTTATAAACATAAAATTCTTCGAATGTAATTGCTGTTACTGTTGTGTGCTCTGATTACCATTATTATATGAGAATATTAATTAATTCACAAAAGACTTACCATTATTTGAAAGCCTAAGAATTGAATTAAGAAAAATTCTAAATCTATTAAAACTCTAGAACTTTGTCACTCACTAGATCGCTATAGATACGAAGTAAAGGAATAGAAAAATAAAAGATAGAAAAATGAATTTTTAAAATTTTTAAATGAATTTTAGTAATCAATGAATTAAATTTCTAATTTCTGTGCTAATATAGGAGCTGGTTTTATGAGAATACAAATAATTTAATACAAAAATAAAGTTGTTTTTAAAAGGAATAATTTATTATTTAAATTTTCAACCTATAAAACTAGAATTTCAGTTAGAACATCAACAAGTCTTGTACAAGTCTACTAATTTAATTATTAGCATAATATTTTTGTCAATTCTTTTGAAACCTATAAGATTCTTAATTGTAAAAATTTGGCAAAAAACTGATTAAATAATGCGAATATTTAATTAATCATAACGGTAAATTATTTTTGTCTTACAAATTAAAATTCGTATCGTGTAGAAATTGAATAATTTACGTTGTAAATGAAAGTTATTGGACTTTAATAGAAAAATTAATCAATTTTTTTGATAGCTTACGCACCAATTATAATTAAATTATTATTCAGTTACATGACCTTTCTGTTATACATATGATTGATATTTACAGTGTATACATACGCATATGAGGTGTATTTTTGGATACCATTTATTAATCAATGAAATCGGAAATGAAAGATTTACAACCAGTTAATCACATATCACACATATTAAAAATGTGTGTGAAAACGGAAATTATTTATGATAAAAGTTCAAGAATGAAGGAAGTCAAATACGTATCTAATGTAAATAATATTCAAATGATGTAAAAATGAAAAAACAAAAAAATTTTTAGGTCACGATCAAGGGACTGACATTCAAAATGTAACATTATTAATGTAAATCTAAAATCAATTTTTTATTTTATATTTGAATTTTCAATATTAAAAACTTTTTTTCAATTTTATATACCCACAATAAGCGTTCGTTGTTGGTTGATTTTAATTATTGTTTTAATAATTATGTCAAGAGCTTATAAAAATTTACCGCTGTATGGCGCTAAATCTTATTATTTGTGAGTATATAGGAAAAGAAAGAAGCTTATATGAAAATCATGACTTTACAAATTCTGTTTCTTTTTTTTTTTGCCTCTTCATATTCACCTTACATATTGCTCGTAGATTTTCAATCAATTCACATAATAAATATTAAAGTTGGTCTATTGAGTAGTAACCTTAATAAAATAATATAGAAAATTTTTCTGTATTTGAACAAATTATTTTAGATTTATAAAAAATCGAAATTAATCGAAATGCTTTAAGGTTTTCTTGAGGTTTGTTTTTTTTTTTGTATTTCTTGAATAGAGTTTGAAAGTTTTTGATATGCAATTTACAATAATTGCATATATTTTAATTATATACATATACTACATAATGTAACATAGTGTGTAAAAATGAGAAGTACAATAGGTTTTTAAATTAAAAAAAAAATTTTAAGCTATCTTAAAAGGTTAGGGTTACTCAGTTGTTAAATTAAATGTAATAAAATTGTTTTCCTGTATAACAATAACTTTATCTTAAAAATTATTAATGAAGAGGTGATCTTGTAAGACCATTAAATTTATTATAATATTTTAGATATTTTTCATCATTAAAATGGATTATATAGTTGAACTGCATAAGACGCCTTTCGTGTTATCCTGTTGTATTGCTTTAAGAAGGCATTCTTTATAAGTTATTCCTAATATCGCATTCTGGATTTCTAAATTAGGGGCAATTTTAAACTTTGGTAGGGCTTTAACTTACGAATAGCACGAGTATTGTCGGACGGCATATAATAAATTGCTAAACATAATCTTGCAGAATGATACTCGTAGCTTGTTTTGTAATTAATTATGTCCAAATATTTTTTTTGAACTTTTAATTCGATAGTTTTGTTTGCAACAAGTTTGATTTTAATATGCAACTAGATTCAAATATTTTGATTAAGAATTTATTAATTGATTCTCAAAAATTTATTTATGTTTTTGTATACGATAACCTTATCGATATAAACTCTTACTTATCTGTTAACAAACTTAAGACATCTTCCTACAAAAAAAAAACAATTGAAACCTATTAATATATTTTGGAAATTATTCAAAAAGTAAAAAAAATATGTATATTGTTATAAATCTTACTTAACACTGCTTTGCCTGCTTTGTATACTTAAAAACTAATTAGTATTGAATTATATACCTGTCAATTGTAACAGTGACGATTCCATTAGTATACAAAATACTTTCACATTACATGAATGCTCATTTGAATTGAAATTTCAGGCAGGTACTTACCTTTTAGAAATTATGAATTAAAAATGGTCATTTATTAATAATTATGAAAATAAATTTTAAACTAACGGATTTTTTTTTTTTAATTTAAATAACTCAATTAACTATGTCAATTAACAACCCTATCAAAAATTATAAATGTATAACAGAAATATTGTAAACTCGCAAATTAAGTAATTAATGTTAGAACCGGTTCCGAATTGTTAATATGACTAAAAGCTGCGAAATTCTTATCTTTTAGAAATTCATTAGAAATTGAGATTAATTAAAAGAAGTAAAACATGAAAAATAATAAAATTTGGTCAGTAGAATTCAAGCAAATTTCGAACTCGTATACTTCCCATCTAAAGTCGATCCGATAAAATTATTAACTTGACATGAAAATTAACATACATATATTCATATGCGAATTGAAAGATTGAAAATGAAAAATTAAAATATAATACTTGTCAGGTAATGTCAAACTCAAATCAATTTCAAGTAATATTATTGCTGATATGTACATACATATCCTATATACAGATTAAAATATCAAGTCAAGTA